AATCCTGGAAATCGGAAATCAGTTTGACACTGCTGTCAAGATGTTACCCCTCCAGAGTACACCAAAATCCTTTCTGCTTAAATGAGCTTTACAGTGAGAACACCTGTGGAGAATTTTGCGTTGTACTGAATGGACAGTGAATGGTGAGTTTCCAATGTAAATTCGTCCACAATAAAGTAACTCTGAGAGAGGTGGTGCAAATATGACTCTTGCAACAAAAATCTGATATGCAAAAATTCAAACATATAAAACAGAATCTTCATATAAATTTGAAAAAATACTTCAAACTAGCCAGATTTCCTGATGCAGGGGCAGTTTGAGGAGGAAGCAGCATCGTATTAAGCAGAATATCTTTCTTTCTTTTTTTTTAAGATGGAGTTTTGCTCTTCTTGCCTAGGCTGGAGTGCAATGGCGTGATCTCGGCTCACTGCAACCTCTGTCTCCCGGGTTCAAGTGATTTTCCTGCCTCAGCCTCCTGTGGCGTAGCTGGGATTATAGGCACGCGCCACCACGCCCGGCTAATTTTGTATTTTTAGTAGAGACGGGGGTTTCTCCCATGTTGGTCAGTCTGATCTTGAACTTCTGACCTCAGGTGATCCACCCGCCTCGGCCTCCTAAAGTGCTGGGATTACAGGCGTGAGCCACTGCACCCGTCAATATTTTTCTTTTGATGATGTTAATTCTTTGTTTTCCACTTTCTTAGGCTTGGGGCATAACAGGTAACTGTGCTTCACAAGGGTAAGACAGGGCTACGCTTGTGTAGATTCCAGTGCCTTCCTGCTGTTCTGGCTTCTCATTCCTCATGCGAGAAACCCAGTACTCATTCCTGCCACCTTCTTCATCTGGATATCAGCATCCTCCTAATCCAAACCATTACCAAGGCCTGTGGATTTTGCCTTCTTTTTTTCTTTTTTGAGACGGAGTCTCACTTTGTCCCCCAGGCTAGAGTGCAGTGGCGCCATCTTGGCTCACTGCAGCCTCTGCCTCTGGATTCAAGCGATTCTCCTGCTTCAGCCTCCCGAGTAGCTGGGATTACAGGCACCTGCCACCACACCTAGCTCATTTTTGTATTTTTATTAGAGACGGGGTTTCACCATGTTGGCCAGGCTGGTCTGGAACTCGTGACCTCAGGTGATCCACCCACCTTGGCCTCCCAAAGTGTTGGGATTACAGGTGTGAGCCAAGTCACCCAGGCGGATTTTACCTTCTATTTTCGTATCTCCCAAGTTGGACCTAGTTGTTGCTGTGTTTGTTTGTTTGATTTTTTCCTTGTTTTCTTTTTTGCTTGAACTACTCCAACAAGCACTAAATTGGAAGTGATCTTTTAATTTAAATTTTTTTTCTTTCTGATATACTGACAGAAGGTTCAGGAAGTGATCTTTGAAAATGGAAAATCTGACCATGTCCCTCCCTAGAACCCTTCAATGGTTTCCCATTGCCTTAGGACAAAGAACAAAATTCTTGACTTGGTCCACAAGGTCTGTATGGTCTGGGCCCTCTGTTCCTCTCTAGACCCAACTACGATTGCCCTTTCCTTGCTCTCTGGGCTCCAGCCACAAGGGGCTTCTTTCAGTTCTCCTATGGACTCATGCTCCCTTGCAACTCAGGGTCTTTGCACCTGCTATTCCTTCCAGTGGAACCACTCTTCCCTCGCCTCTTCACCTTGTAAAGTCCCACTGACCCATCACCAGCTTAAGACAGTGTCATTTTTCTAGGTAAAATCCCTAACATTTTCTGTGCTCTAGGAGACGGACCCATATGGAGTATGTCCATGGGAGATTCCAGAAAGAGATTCAGTGTAGGGAAATGAAATCAGGCATTTATTCTCCCTGCTCCTTCTCTGCCAGAATATCACTGGTTACTTCTGTTCCTCTATCAAAGGTCATGGCTCCTGTCAGGCAAAATTCTCTCCAAACGTCCCTCTCTGGTCTTAGGTAACTATTTCTTTCCTAGATCCCAGGAGACTCCAACATCCCTTGTAGTTTCACTCCTGCTTTACCTTTTTTTTTTTTTTTTTTGAGACAGTCTCACTCTGTCACCCAGGCTGGAGTGCAGTGGTGTGATCTCAGCTCACTGAAACCTCCACCTCCTGGGTTCAAGTGATTCTTGTACCTCAGTCTCCCAAGTAGCTGATTACAGGCACACACCACCATGCCTGGCTGATTTTTGTATTTTTAGTAGAGACAGGCTAGTCTCAAACTCCTGACCTCAAATGATCCACCCACCTCGGCCTCCTAAAGTGCTGGGATTACAGGTGTGAACCACCGCGCCCGGCCCATACTTTGTTTTAAAAAGTATTCTGATCATGCTCTACTAATGGGTCATCACCTGCAGTTTGAAAAATGCCTTAAATGACCCTCGTCCAAGTGATCCTTTCCCTGATTCGTCAGGCCAGATCAGGCTTCTGGGCATTCATGCCACTATTTTCCCGCAGAGCTGGGTTCACAGTTGGTTATGTTTATGTCAGTTTCCCCACTAGACAACTGCTCCACGAAAGCAGCAACATGACAACGATGCTCACAGCTATATCAGGTGCTAAGTCTCAGCGCTCAGTAAGTGTTTGTGGAATGAATAATACATGAGCAAACGAATGAAACTCACACTTCATGTGTTACTCCTCCCAGGAGGACTTACATATAGAACTTTGACAAATTAATATCTAATGGTGAAATTTCTAGCACATTTCTTCCTGGGACAGAGAACACTGAGTGCGGTAGTAGGCTACAAGGTACAAGTTCCATTCTGATGTATTTAAGAGAGGATCTGATTTTAAAAGTGACTTATTTACATCTATTTCATACAACTTTGGAGTCATCCTTTACTCCTCTCTCTCATTCCTCATCCACCAGCAAATCCTGCCAGAATTTAAATATATTCAGAATTCCAGTACTCATCACCTCTGTTTACACAGCATCACCTCTCATCATATCACTACAGGAACCTATAATTATCTTCCTGCTGTGACTTCGCCTCCCTTCAGTCTCAACACAGTGACTTTGTCAATATGGAAGTCAGATAGAGTCACCCTTCTGTTCAGAACCCTTAAATACTTCCTATCTCAAAGACGGGGAAGCCTCTCTTACATACTTCCCATCTCAAAAGGGGGAAAGCCTCTTTTACAGTGGCCTCTCTGCTTAATTTTCTCCACAGAAATTATCATCTTCTAACGTGTCATCTATTTTACTTGCTCATCGTCTTGCTCCCCTTCGTAGGATGTAAGCTCCAGGAGGGCAGAGATTTGTTTGTTTACTGCTGTGTCATCCGACACAAACCTTGGTACAGGGTAGCCATTCATTAAACTATTTGTTAAATAAATGAATGAATCCATAGGGTAACCCAAATAAATATGCAATAATTCGGAAATGTGAATCTCTGGCGTCCATTAATCCACCTCTACAAGTATCTACGGAGGACCTATTAGACACGGACACAAGGCAGCTAAACGAGCTCTCCTAAAAGGGCGATAAAGCCTCCTGCAGGCAGTCCCTCTCATACCTCGGATCCAAAAAGAAGAATGGAGGTAAGAACTTAAGTCATTTCATTCTTTTTTTTTTTTTCTTTTGTAGAGATGGGGGAGGTGGTCTCACTATGTTGCCCAGGCAGGTCTCGAACTCCTAGCCTCAAGCGATCCTCCCGCCTCGGTTTCCCAAAGAACTGGGTTTACAGGCGTGAGCCACCGTGCCCAGTCTCATTTCTTGAAGGAGATAGATAAGTAGAGGGCAGAAAAAAAGCATAGAAAAATAAAAAAGAGAAGGAAGAGGTCCTTCTGCCTTTGTGCTCCCGGCCTTTCTCTTTCATGCTAGGTTAGGATCCCAGAATCCTAACCTAGAATTTCCGTTCTGTCTATCGCTTGTGGATCGAGGGATATGCACCCGCCTGTTGGCAAATCAATC